CATGCCTGTGAGTCCAGTCTTGGGAGGCTGAGGCAGGAGGATTGCTTGAGCCAGGAGTTTGAGGTTGCTGTGAGCTAGGCTGATGCCACGGCACTCACTCTAGCCTGGGCAACAAAATGAGACCCTGTCTCAAAAAAAAAAGGAAAAACAAACTTTAACCGGTATTCTTATACTGATTAATAAAATAATCAGACTCAGATAAACAATATAGACTATACTAAAGTTAAATAACAGGTGAGATTGGTAATTCATTTCTAGCTCTTCAGCCTACAAATTTAATACCTACTGTCCAGAAAGCCTGATAGGGTTATTATTAGAAATAGTTCAGCATTTTCCCCAGCTCACGAAAGGGTCGTGTTTTAAAGCTTCATTTTGTGAAATAGTTATTAAAGATGCATACCTTCCCATAAAAATGATGTGGGAACTTCAAATAGCTGGTTGAGGCCTGAAGGATGGATGACATGCAAAGTTAGGGACTTGGGTTGTAGAAAGTAGCAATGGAGACTGCAAGAGTTGATGAAGAGGAGCAGTGGTAGAGTTTTCTCTTCCTCTTTCCTTCAATGTTTGCTTAGGTGTAAAAAACAGGGATGGCAGTTGGGTGGAGAGGAGTGGATAAGAAAAGTAGAAAGGTAGGATTGTTTTTTCCCCTTTTGTCACCAGCTTTTTGACAGAAGATCCACTTCAGAGAGGAAGGAAATTCATAACAGCATCAGGAAGGGAAAGGGACTTTTTTTTTTTTTTTTTTTAACCTGAGACTTCTGCTTTGACCAAAGGTCCTTACTCTTAAAATGGGAATATTAATACCGATATTGAGTTTTTACAAATTTTATTTTTTCTCCATTTTAAAATTTTTTTGTATTATTGAGTTTTGAGGATTAAATGAAAGTACCAAATTATAACTTTTAATTAATATTACTTAAAATTTATTATATCTTGCCTACTCTCCCCTTGAAACACTTGCACACATAAGAGGGGCAGCTGACTTGGAGCATGTACCTGAAAAGCTTCCCTGGACAGGTGATGTTGGGACAGGTTACTCATTACAAACATATATGTTTAGCATTCACCCTTCTAGGCATGTGGGTGCTGAAAAATAAAAAGAATAGCCACTGCTTTGAGATACTTGTAGTTAAATCGGCCACAATACAAATAATTATAATGCTGTAATTGTTATATGTTAAATACAATGTCATCATGCATAGGGTTCTGTAGGGTCATAGAGAAAGAAGATCACCAAGGGACATGAGGGTGGGCATCACATGCAGGGAGTCCTGAAGGCAGAGTAGGAGTCGGGTATGAAGAAGGGTATTTTTTGAAAGCTGAACAGCTTATATAGAGGCTGGAAAGAGTATATCTGAAAATCTGGAAGATAGGATGCTTAAGGAGAATGAAAGGATACTTCCTACATTACTAAAACTGCTGTTGCTTTTTGCTTTTTCTTTTCCTACCTACCTTTGTTACAGAAAAACCCTATGATCTTTGAACTGTGTCCATTTCCTAGGATTCCTTCCAGGTGATACTGCCAGGCACCACCGAGCTGTTATCTTAGACCTACTGCAGGAGGCACTAACAGAGGCTGGATTAACCTCCCAGGATATCGATTGCATTGCCTATACCAAAGGTAGGGCTGGAAGAGTGGTCAATAACGGAGGGATATACCTGGAGCCTGGCTAGGTCAAAATACCCTATAATTGCCTGCCACCAGCACTACCCCTACCCCACCTTTTGCATCCCCTACTTCCCCTACCTGTTTTTTTCTAATCTAGAATTTTAATTCACATTTCTATCCCCCTAGGCCCCGGCATGGGTGCCCCACTGGCTTCTGTGGCTGTTGTGGCCCGAACTGTGGCCCAGCTGTGGAATAAGCCATTGCTGGGTGTGAACCACTGTATAGGCCACATTGAGATGGGCCGCCTCATCACTGGAGCCACCAGCCCAACTGTGTTGTATGTCAGTGGAGGAAATACGCAGGTACTTAGAGTACTCTACCTATTCCATCTTAATTAATTTCTAAGGCACTGAACCAGCAACTTCTTGTTCTACTTTTGAGTTTCAGGAACTGCAAGAACAAAGCTGGGCTTATCTCAACCTAAAATATACCAGAAAACCCACAGAGTTTATAACATTGCAGATTTTGGCAGGATGATTAGAACATTAGATGACTTTTATATATGTGTTTATAAAGATTAGGAATTTTTTTTTTTGAGACAGAGTCTCACTTTGTTGCCCAGGCTAGGGTGAGTGCCGTGGTGTCAGCCTAGCTCACAGCAACCTCAAACTCCTGGGCTCAAGCAATCCTACTGCCTCAGCCTCCTGAGTAGCTGGGACTACAGGCATGCGCCACCATGCCCAGCTAGTGTTTTCTATATATATTACTTGGGCAATTAATTTCTTTCTATTATAGTGAGGTGGGGTCTTGCTCTTGCTCAGGCTGGTTTCGAACTCCTGACCTTGAGCAATCCCGCCGCGTTCGCCTCCAGAAGAGCTAGGATTACAGGCGTGAGCCACTGCCCGGCCAAGACTAGGAATTTCTAATGTAGAAAAGGAAAGAATGGTAAGGACTGAAGCCTTCAAAATGATAAAAGGTCTTTTATCATTTTGAAGCTTATTTTTTCTATAAGTCTTAGCAATTAAAACTAGGGAGTACTACCTGACTTATTTTTTTTTAGATAACTACATGTTTTGTTTTTAAATTACTGGGGATAGATTTTTGAGACAGTCTTGCTCTGTTGCCCAGGCTAGAGTACTGTGGTGTCAGCCCCACTCACAGAACCTCAAACTCCTTGGCTCAATTGACCCTCCTGCCTCAGCCCAAGTAACTGGAACTATAAGCATGCACCACCACCCTCAGCCTCCCAGAGTGCTAGGATTACAGGCGTGAGCTACCACGCTCAGCCTATATGACATTTAAAGTTGGGATTGCATTCTTTTTCCATAGAATACCTGATAGGGTTATTATTATTTTTTTAAATTTAGGAGCAGACCTTTTTAGCCAGACCTGAATGATCATTGACAAAACATCTGAAAAAGAAACTTTAGGCTGGGCGTGGTGGCTCACTCCTGTAATCCTAGCACTCTGGGAGGTCGAGGCGGGCAGATAGCTCAAGGTCAGGAGTTCGAAACCAGCCTGAGCAAGAGCGAGACCCGTCTCTACTATAAAAGAAAGAATTAGTGGCCAACTAATATATATAGAAAAAAATTAGCCGGCATGGTGGCACATGCCTAGTCCAGCTTCTTGGAGGCTGAGGCAGCAGGATTGCTTGAGCCCAGGAGTTTGAGGTTGCTGTGAGCTAGGCTGATGCACGGCACCACTCTAGCCTGGCAACAATGAGACCCTGTCTCAAAAAAAAGGAAAAACAAACTTTAACCGGTATTCTTATACTGATTAATAAATAATCAGACTCAGATAACAATATAGACTATACTAAAGTTAAATACAGGTGAGATTGGTAATTCTTTCTCTCTTCAGCCTACAAATTTAATACCTACTGTCCAGAAAGCCTGATAGGGTTATTAGAAATAGTTCAGCATTTCCCCAGCTCACGAAAGGGTCGTGTTTTAAAGCTTCATTTTGTGAAATAGTTATTAAAGATGCATACCTTCCCATAAAAATGATGTGGGAACTTCAAATAGCTGGTTGAGGCCTGAAGGATGGATGACATGCAAAGTTAGGGACTTGGGTTGTAGAAAGTAGCAATGGAGACTGCAAGAGTTGATGAAGAGGAGCAGTGTAGAGTTTTCTCTTCCTCTTCCTTCAATGTGCTTAGGTGTAAAAACAGGGATGGCAGTTGGGTGAGAGGAGTGGATAGAAAAGTAAAGGTAGGATTGTTTTCCCCTTTTGTCACCAGCTTTTTGACAGAAGATCCACTTCAGAGAGGAAGGAAATTCATAACAGCATCAGGAAGGGAAAGGGACTTTTTTTTTTTTTTTTTTGGAGACAGAGTCTCATTATGTTGCCTGGGCTAGAGTGCCGTGGCGTCAGCCTAGCTCACAGCAACCTCAAACTCCTGGGCTCAAGCAATTCTTCTGCCTCAGCCTCCCAAATAGCTAGGACTACAGTAGTGCGCCACCATGCCCGGCTAATTTTTTCTATATATTTTTTTTTAGTTGGCAATTAATTTCTTTCTATTTTTAGTAGAGATGGGGATCTCACTCAGGCTGGTTTCGAATTCCTGACCTTGAGCAATCCTCCTGCCTCAGCCTCCCAGAGTGCTAGGATTACAGGCGTGAGCCACCGCGCCCAGCTGGAAAGGGACTATGGTCCCTAGGAAGCCCTCAGTGTCAGGAGTATAGAGCATATGTGTCAGTAGATGACGGATGTTCTGTGTGCTAAAAGTTGGTCGCATGTAAAGGACGGGCTTAAGTGGATTGCTATTTCTGAGTTGGGTGGGCCATTAGTCTGACCCCATATGAGAGTGTTTGAGTTCTTTAACTCTACCTCTCGTCTTGTTTCCAAATACCACTGCCCTTGCAGGATGGTCTAGAAGGACTCTCATTTTCTGCCTCCAGGCAAGAAGGCCTGTTCACTAGTCTGCACTGTCAAGACTGCTTCTAAGGGATATATCAGGAACCTCTAAGCTAGAAAAACGTGTTTGCAATGATGGTTTGCTTCTGCCCTGATCTAGGCTATCTTTTGTAGGTTAGGAATCAGCTCTGGGAATCCTTGGGGTATATGAAATTCTTCTGATGTAAGAGCTGTAAAAAAATTACCCATTGGGAGGCCGGGCGCGGTGGCTCATGCCTGTAATCCTAGCAGTCTGGGAGGCCGAGGCAGGCGGATTGCTTGAGGTCAGGAGTTCGAAACCAGCCTGAGCAAGAGCGAGACCCCATCTCTACTATAAATAGAAATTAATTGGCCAAATAATATAAATATGGAAAAAACATTAGCTGGGCATGGTGGCGCATGCCTGTAGTCCCAGCTACTTGGGAGGCTGAGGCAGGAGGAGTGCTTAAGCCCAGGAGTTTGAGGTTGGCTGTGAGCTAGGCTGAGCCACGGCACTCACTCTAGCCTGGGCAACAAAGTGAGACTCTGTCTCAAAAAAAAAAAAAAAATTACCCATTGGGAAAGCACTTTTTGTCCATTTCTTAGTGGAAGCTCTGGTGGCCATGTTGATCCTCTGCTTTGTTCTTCCCCAAAGCCAAATAATCCTCTTTACAGACTTGAGGTCTCATGGACATCCTCATCACCCTTAGGTGATTGCGTACTCAGAACATCGTTACCGCATCTTTGGGGAAACCATCGATATTGCTGTGGGCAATTGTCTGGATCGTTTTGCTCGAGTGCTGAGGGTAAGCCATTGGGGCTGCAGAAAACATTAGACGTGGGTGAATTTCTGGGAAGCCATGGAAGTGGAGGGAGGGAGTAGTAAATTAGCTTATGCTTTTTCTGTATCTGATTTTATCCTCTTTTATTCACTTTCATATTTTTTCTTCTGCTAGATTTCCAATGACCCAAGTCCAGGCTACAACATTGAACAGATGGCAAAGCGGTAAGGGGACATAGAAAGGAGGCTGGCTGCTTGGGCTTCAGGGATTTCCCCATATACCGGATATATTAATGAGATTTGGGAGGGGCTTTGGATCGTGAGCGGCCAGCCGACTATATACTTGGTGCTTCATACATTCATTCCCACTTAGAGGCAAGAAGCTAATTGAGCTGCCATACACTGTAAAGGGGATGGACGTCTCATTCTCAGGGATCCTGTCTTTCATTGAGGTGAGTATTGATGTATGAGAGAGGTAAGAAGACAGGAGCACTGTTGTGGGTTTTTTTGGTTGTTTTTTTTTTTGATAGACATGACGTCTTGCTATGTTTCCCAGGTTGGTCTTAAACTCCTGGCCTCAAGTGATTCTCTTGCCTTGGCCTCCCAAAGTGCTGTGATTACAGGCATGAGCCTGGCCTCTTTCATGCTTTTTAAATGAAGCATCTGTTTTGCTCACTATTGTATTTCCTGTGTGTTGCATAGTATCGACCCATATCAGATGCTGAGTAAATTGATTTTTCAGATATTTACTGAATATCTTCTATGTGTCAGGCACTGTTCTAGACAACAGGGATGCAGCATGGAGCAAAATAAAAATCCTGCCTACATAGAGTTTAGATTCTAATGAGGAACAGACAAATAAACATAAAAGGAAGGAAGGAAAATACAATGTGTCAGATGGTGATAAGTGCAATGGCAAGCAATTAAGCAGGGGAAGTAAGGGGCAGGAGATGTCAGGGCAAGCATTCAAGAAATAATTATTGAATCTTAAATGATTGCTGCCCCTTCTATACCTTGATGCCAGTGAAGGAGTATGTATGGTACAGGATGTGCTGGTAAGCTGAATTGTAGTGAAACACGGTGATCCTCTAAGTGCATTGATTTTTGCTCTTGTGTAATCCCCAAAGCACTGTTGTTTTGTTTGTTTTTCCCTTTAATTGTAGGATGTAGCCCAGCGGCTGCTGAGCACAGGCGAGTGTACTCCTGAGGATCTGTGTTTCTCCCTGCAGGTAATGAAGTAAAAAGCTGGGACGGGAAGTTGGGGTTGGAGAAGCTTTTATATATATATAGTAGAGCAGAACTAAGCTGGGATGCCCCTCTGATGTTTTCACCTTTTCTGTCCCCCACAGGAAACTGTGTTTGCAATGCTGGTAGAAATCACGGAGCGAGCCATGGCACATTGTGGCTCCCAGGAGGCCCTCATTGTGGGAGGTGTGGGGTGTACGTATCATTGAATGGTATTCTTCTTTCCTCTTCTTGGATCTGTGCATCTTCCTTGCTAAGTCGAGTTTGTACTAAATTGCTGAAGGTTTGGAGGGAATTATTAGTTTTTTACTTGTCCTATGCTTCCTAGTCCTTACCACTAGGCCCCTACTTCATTGTTATCTTAAGTATGTACGCATGTTGTGTGCTGTTGAACATGACGTGAGAGATGGCTAAAACTAAGCTAACCCTGCCCCTCTACCTCTTTATAGGTAATATGAGGCTGCAGGAGATGATGGAGACAATGTGCCAGGAACGGGGAGCCCGGCTTTTTGCCACAGATGAGAGGTAAAGATCCTTTCTGTTTCTTGACATCTTTTTACTTCTCCCATTATTGTGATTTTCCACCCTTAGATCTCAGACTTCATCTCTCTTTTCCATCCTAGATTCTGCATTGACAATGGAGCCATGATAGCCCAGGCTGGCTGGGAGATGTTTCAGGCTGGACACAGGACCCCCCTTAGTGATTCTGGGATTACGCAGAGGTGAGTGATTCACTCCTTGGAGGGGTATAGATAGGATTATATGGGAGGTAAGCAAAAATCAGCAGGGAAGACAGTCTAGGAGCATGATGGTAGAGAAGTGTGGAAGATGCTAAGGGGTAGCCCTCCACCATGCTTTTTCTATTTTTCCACAGGTATCGAACAGATGAAGTAGAAGTGACCTGGAGGGACTAACAAGATTAACAGGATCAGAGTAGATCGTTTCCTAAGTGGAGCCCAAGGACGCTGGATCTTAATTTATATTCCGATGTAGGAATCCTAGCAAAGCTATAGACTCCGAGCAAGGCTTGGGGTCCCTTTTGGAAACCCAAGATGACTCAGCAATAAAATGTTTTTGGTTTTGTATGTTGGTAGTTGGGTTGTGTTGGACCAGTATAGAGTTGGCACTAGGTAAGTTCTTGATGAGGTGAATGGATAAGGAGGAGGGGGTCAGAGCAGCACCCCGGCTCACTGCAGGTAGCTTTGGAAGCTGCCACTCAGGAGCCAAGAATGAGAGGAAACCATAGGTGCTTTCCCAATTTCTCCTTAACAATAATATTGTCATAACTAATACTGTTTTTTTTTTTTTGAGACAGAGTCTTGCTTTGTTGCCCAGGCTAGAGCGAGTGCCGTGGCGTCAGCCTAGCTCACAGCAACCTCAAATTCTTGGGCTCTAGCGATCCTCCTGCCTCAGCCTCCCGAGTAGCTGGGACTACAGGCATGTGCCACCACGCCCGGCTAATTTTTTCTATATATATTAGTTGGCCAATTAATTTCTTTCTATTTATAGTAGAGACGGGGTCTTGCTCTTGCTCAGGCTGGTTTCGAACTCCTGACCTTGAGCAATCCGCCCGCCTCGGCTTCCCAGAGTGCTAGGATTACAGGCGTGAGCCACCGCGCCCGGCCAAATACTGTTTTAATATCAGGCTTTCACCTTATATACACTTCTACTGGCAGGTTTATGGAGTGCCCCAGATACACAACCCTCCCTGCCACAACCACCAGAACTAATCTCATCATGCCCTTTATATCACAAGAAGTACTGAAGTACTGAATCACCTCATCTTTTACATTCTAGTAACCATTTATTTCCTCCCCATTTTTTGTCCCCATCTACATCCCTCTTCCAACTCCTGAAACTCTTCTGCTGTGCTGTCTGGAACTAATAGCCAGTAATTTGCCAAATTCTCTATGCTCACCTGTTTTCTGAATGTTCCCTTCACATTCTTGCTGAGTCCTGGTTTCTTGTGCGGACATTCTGCTTCTCCTACCACTTTGTAGTGGTGTTTCCCACGCCCATTGGTACAGGTGTCCTCATTTTTCCTCATGGTATTTCCAGACCATTCTCCCTCATCCCTAATATCCCTCAGCTTTGAAACTCTACCACACCAACCTACTCTTGCCATAAATCTTTTTTGGGTGTTTTATTTGTTTTTATTTTTTGAGACAAAGTCTCACTCTGATGCCCAAGTTAGAGTGCAGTGGCATTATCATAGCTGTCTGCAACCTCCAACACCCAGGCTCAAGCGATCTTCCTGCCTTGGCCTCCCAAGTAACTGGGGCTATAGGAGTGTACCATCATGCCCCACTAATTTTTTTTTGTTTGTTTTTGTTTTTTTGAGACAGAGTCTCACTTTGTTGCCCAGGCTAGAGTGAGTGCTGTGGCGTCAGCCTAGCTCACAGCAACCTCAAACTCCTGAGCTCAAGCGATCCACCTGCCTCAGCCTCCCAGAGTGCTAGGATTACAGCGGTGAGCCACCACACCCGGCCTTGTGGTTTCCTTTATCAAACTGAAAACTGGTCTTTTTAAAGGTCTGCAAGTCCCTCCATGATTTGCCCTGCCCTTGCCCAGTTACCACTTTCAACTCCTGCTACTCCTTGTTTGTTCAGTTCCAGCAACATTGACCTTTTTGTTGTCCCTTAAACACAGGCATGCTGACCCGCAAAGCCTTTACATTTGCTGCTACCCCTGTCGGGAAAGCTTTTCCCCTAGGTATAATTTACTCCATCATATTCTTTTTTTTTTTTTTGAGACAGAGTCTCGCTTTGTTGCCCAGGCTAGAGTGAGTGCTGTGGCGTCAGCCTAGCTCACAGCAACCTCAAACTCCTGGGCTCAAGCAATCCTACTGCCTCAGCCTCCCAAGTAGCTGGGACTACAGGCATTCGTCACCATGCCCAGCTCATTTTTTCTATATATATTAGTTGGCCAATTAATTTTTTTCTATTTATAGTAGAGACGGGGTCTGGTTTTGAGCTCCTGACCTTGAGCAATCCGCCTGCTTGGGCCTCCCAGAGTGCTAGGATTACAGGCGTGAGCCACCACGCCTGGCCTTCCTTAGCAGAAGTTCTTAACATAGTCCTGCACTTTGGTCAGGGTCACTGTGTGGGACAGCTCCATGTGATAGGTGCCCGCCTGGACTGAAGAGACCACGTTCACAACTGTGCAGAGGAAGGAGTGGTGTGGAATGATTGTGGGTGGGGCATCACTCGTCAGTAGTAAAGGAAACAGATTTACCTTTGGTAGCTCTGAGTTTCTTGTGCGGGTCAGCCTTCTGTTGTATCTCACTTCCTAGCCCCCATCCCACTCACCAGGTTTTTTGTAGAATATATACAGCAACAGCAGAAGGATAAGCAACACAGCCATGAGTGCTACCCACCAAGTGAGGAGGAGCAGGATGGGCAGAGCAGAGAGCCCAGGAGGGAGAGCCCTGCAGGTGAGAGTGAGTGCAACCCATCTTTGTCCCAGTCTCGGTTCCACCCACTCTTGCAGCCCAAGAATGCTCTCCCAACTTCCCAGGCCTTCCTAGCTCTGGACCTGATCCCAACACCTGCCTACACTAACCAGGCAGCTGGGTAATGGAGGCGTGGAAACAGCTGAAGTTGATTAGGGCATAGGAGCAGAGGAAGAAATTGGAGATGATGGGGGCAATGGTGTTCAGCTCTGCTTTGGAAGAGATAAAAGGTCAGGGATCAGTCTCCAAACTAGTGTCATGGGATCCAGGTCTGGAGAGTCTAGGACATCCTGGCTTTCCTTTCTCCATTCTCCCAATTCCCTACTCCCTACTGCTCCTCACTCTACCCCACACCCATGCCATCCCTGCCCCCACCAAGTTAGGAGACATTTTCATCGAGTGTTAGGACTAGAGAGACAGAAAAGAGGCTTTAGGCCAGGCCCTGGGGACCAGAGGTAGGGCTGAGAGGGCACGAGAGGAAAAGTGACTAATAGGGGCCTGTGGGGGTGGGTGGGTGGGGAGTACTCACTGGTAAGGATGAACCCTACAGCAATGAGGAAGGTGGGCAGATTAGCCCCACAGAGGCTCATGGTTCTTGCCATATCCTTTCCCCAAAAAGCCAATGACTGGGTACAGTTTATCCTGGCTCAGCCACTTTAAAAAGTCATGGCAATCAACAGGAGAGTGGTCCAGGGAAAGGGAGAATAAGAGCCCCTTCACCTGTAATCCTAGCACTCTGGGAGGTCGAGGCGGGTAGATTGCTCAAGGTCAGGAGTTCGAAACCAGCCTGAGCAAGAGCGAGACCCCGTCTCTACTATAAATAGAAAGAAATGAATTGGCCAACTAATATATATATAAAAAATTAGCCGGGCATGGTGGCGCATGCCTGTACTCCCAGCTACTTGGGAGGCTGAGGCAGAAGGATTGCTTGAGCCCAGGAGTTTGAGGTTGCTGTGAACTAGGCTGATGCCACGGCACTCACTCTAGCCTGGGCAACAAAGCGAGACTCTGTCTCAAAAAAATAAAAAATAATAATAAAAATAAAGAGCCCCCTATTTCTCTTCAGGGGCAGGAGAGTGGGGAACACAGAAGGAATAGTTGAGGGAGCTTAGGGGTCTCAACAGGAAGAAACGATAGGAGTAGGGTGTGTTGAGATCCCTAAGAATGTGGGATGGGAAAAACTGAGAGTGGGGAGGCAGAAGAGTGACACCCTCCCCATACTTTGCCTTATTTTGCAGGCAGACTTTGGATTTTGCTATGTGAGCTTGGATCATCTCTTAAACACCAGGCAGCCACAGTCATCTCCATCTTCCTGTGTCGCCATCTAACTCCTGGTTGCCAAGAACTGAGCTCTCTTTTGCCCTTCCTCCTCAAAAATTATAATTTTAGATTGGCCCTGTCTACTTACATTCTCTCCTTTTTCCTCCCAACCCTCTTGCTAAGATATCAACTAACCTGGAAAACTTTGGGGGCTGAAACAAAGCAGGCAAGGGCAAAGAACAGAGTGATACTGAAGATAGCAGAAGATGTCAGGGGACTGAAGACAGACACCATGCTCATGGCCTGAGGAGAAGGGCAGACAAAGGCAGAAATTAATTCACTCCTGAAGCAATGCATTTCACCCATATTTTCACCTAGCTTTCCCAAAAGTTGCAGGGCTTATTAAATTTTATCTGCATCTTTGAAGGATTTACCCCATCCTCATGAATCCCCTTGAGCATGTACTCTGTGCCAGGCAGTGGGCTAGTAAGGTTTCTCTTCCTAATCTTACCCTCTGGTTCACTCACCTGGTAGTGATTAGACAGCCCGAAGTGGCAGGACCTTTGCTCTCGGCAACTGCTGAAATCCCAAATCCCAGCCACACTGGCACACTGCGCCCAGGCAGCTCCCATTCTGCACACCTATGTCAGTCCTATTTCCTGAAGCATCACGAACCATGCAGGAGCCTGGAAATGAGATTGGAGATACACATTTCTTCATGAGAAGAAAACCCCATCCCAAAGCAGTAGGGCTGCCTGGGTACCACTAGTACCAAAAGAGGAAATGGAAATGTTTGTGTATGGGGAGCGTGGGTATACCAAATTTGGTAATCAAAGAACACCATACAGTTCATCAACAGATATAAGGAATGGGGAGGAATTGTAAAAAGAGCTACCTGCATGTAAACTATCTGTTTGGTTTTGCTGTTTTTTTAGAGACAGTCTTGCTGTGTTGCCCAGGCTGGACTCAAACTTCTGGATTCAAGTGATCCTCCCTCCTCAGCCTCCTAAGTAGCTGGGACTACAGGTGCATACCACCACACCTGGCTTTAAACTATTGTTAATGTGACTGATGAATACCTCTTGTTCATTTTATCACTTATTTATTTTATCCTTAGTCCCTTGGGGAGGCAGAAACTGGGGCTCCAGGTCATTCTGTACAGAAGGCATTGGCCTTACCAATGGTGGCAGAGATGCCCAGGGAGGAGAGTGTGGTCCACATGATGGCAAGGAGGGTTCCTTTGAGGATAGCTGTAGCAGGGTACTCGGGACAAAAGTTGGACCATTAGTGGAGAGAGAAGAGGGGTGGCAGAGAGTGTGCCCTATGCCTGGACACTCTTGTCACCTTAAGGTTCCCAGAGATAGGGGCCCCAGCCAGGACCCCAGCGGGTGAAGGGAAGAATATGGAAAACATGCCAAAGAAACTGCCTTCTGGACCATGCCACTGTGGGACTATATTTTCCCAGAAAATGCTTTCTATGTAAAAGAACAGAGAAAAAAAGAGGTTTTGAGGAGTACCTCCTGGCTTCCCTTCATTCAGCTAGAATCATTATTACCCCTACTCAGTTTTGTGCTTATGACTTGGGTTAGGCTGGTAAGAACAACTAGGCAGCCCAGAGACCTATAGGACTCTGGTCTGATCGTCAACTTACAAATGACATACAGAATCAGAAGTCAAGGGCTATTTTCTGATGAGGTTTTGGCTAATGAGGTCCTGTGCTCCTAGTGTAGGTGACATTCTGAGGCATTCATTCCCTTTAATGTATCTCTCAGCTTCTCGCTCTCACCTTGGTACCTAAAGAAGCCAGTGGCTTGTCAGCTGGGGTTTCTGGGGGGGTAGTGTCCCCAGCAGGTAGTTGATAAAAGAGAGGAAGTTCAGGAAGATGATTTAGGCCTAAAATACCATGGGTGACAAAAGAAAGGAGAAATGTGAGTGGAGGGGGAGGAGTAACTACTGCTCTACCTTCTCACTCTCCTTGTCCCATTTTTTTTTAGAGACAGGGTCTCACTCTGTCACCCAGGCTGGAGTGCAATGGCCCAATCATAGCTCATAGCAGCCTTGAACTCTTCGGTTCAAGCAATCCTCCCCCCTCAGCCTTCCCAGTAGCTGAGACTACAGGTGCATGCTACCAGGCCCCACTCCTCCTTGTCCCATCTTAATGCTTTTCCTAACCCTCTAGTTCCTTTTTCTACTGGCCTCTTCCACAAAGGAGTTCCAGCCAAATGGGTATCCTTTTCCTTCTTGCCTCAAACTGCAAAGCATACCTCCCCGTGCCACAGAGGTAGATCTTAAAATTGCAAATATCTGGTCTGGGAGCAATACATAGCATTTCTCATCTGGTGTCTCTCCCACTAGTCCTGTCCGGTGCTCATCCCAACAGATCCTCAGAATAAATCCTCTTTTCTTCCCCTTGAAGAACTGGGGTGTGAAGTCTCTTCCAACAAAACCATCTAATTTCAGGTTCCTCTCCCTGGGAATCTGCTCCACCACCTCCTTCCCCCATATTTAGCTTGGTCTTCTCAGGCAGCAGCTGCTTTTACCCACCACACACACATAAGCCCACCTCTCCTCCCATCGCCACCTGGCCCTGCCACCCCTCAGCCTCCTCACCCCCACCTAGATTTCCCAATACCTGCCTTAGACTCCCACTCTATGCCAGTCAGCGCCACACCCAGAAAGATAGTCACGGTGGCCACGCCCACCACTCGCAAATCGTTTTCAGGATCCATGTTTGGCAGCTGCACCCCATGCTCCTGGAAGGGCAGAACACTGAGGTCACAAGTATTTATTAGCTGATTTGATGCTTCCATATGATTGTTTAAATGATTTGCCTGGGATGGAGGATTAGACCTTCAGATAGAGGGTTAGACTTTCCAGGGTCAGCAGACTTAAGAGAGGAACACAAAAAGGAAAGGGACAGGCATTATCTGGAGTAAGTCTGAGAGGGTCTCTGCAAAGCCCACCATGTGCATAGCCACAGCTATGGCATTGGCAAAGGCGAAGATGATCCCAGTGGAAATGCCAAGCTCTGGATCCAGGCTGCGTGAGATGAGGAAATTTGTGCCACCTGAGAGGAGAGAAAAGAAGAACTGGTCTGTGGTCTTGGCAGTTCCTAATAGGACTGTGGACCCCTAGGGTTAACGAGGTCACCATAGACTCACCAACCTTGATTTTGCCATTGGTGGTGTTGGCTGAGATACACAAGCCACTACTGGGTAGTAGAGACAGAGGCCAAGAGCAGGACAATGAACCATGTGAGTCCTGGGGTAGGGAGAGAATCCACTCCTTCATGCTGCACCCCCGCATCCCTGCCCACTGCCCAGGACAGCTCTGAGCTCATACCTACGCCTGCCTGAGCAGTGATCCAAGGCAGCTGCAGGTAGAGGATGACACCCCAGATGTTGAGCATACAGTGGATCTGGGGAGCAAGGTGATGAAAGAGAAGCCGAGGTCTCAAGTGCAAAACTCCACCTCCTGTTCTCTTCTTCCTCAGAGGTACTCTCCAAGAACTCCTCTGGAGCAAAGTTCTCTCTTGCCTACCTAGATCCCCAAATTTTGGGAGCCCTGAGCTCCAGTCCATTACTACATCTCCCATGACACAGCTGAAGCACACCGGGGCCTTGTTGTCTTGGGATTGTGGCCAGGCTCAAGGATCCTCTGCAGAGGTGGAAGTCACACTGTCCCCTGGCTGAGATAGCACAGACATGACTGAGATGCCAAGACCCCTCCCTAGCCAGTGTGTCTACAACCAGGCAGATGGCTGATGGGCCTGGAAGGCAGTCCCAGGGTTTTTTTGTTTGTTTGTTTGTTTTTTCTTTTGAGACAGTCTGACTCTGTTGCCCAGGTTAGTGTGAGTGCCGTGGCGTCAGCCTAGCTCACAGCAACCTCAAACTCCTGGGCTCAAGCTATCCTACTGCCTCAGCCTCCTGAGTAGCTGGGACTATAGGTATGCGCCACCATGCCCGGCTAATTTTTTCTATATATTTTTAGTTGGCCAATTAATTTCTTTCTATTTATAGTAGAGAAGGGGTCTTGCTCTAGCTCAGGTTGGTTTCGAACTTCTGACCTTGAACAATCCTCCTGCCTTGGCCTCCCAGAGTGCTAGGATTATAGGCGTGAGCCACCTTGCCTGGCCTAGTCCCAGGGTTTTAATGGAGGGTGGGTGGTGGCCCAGATAGCAGATTTTATCCTTCCTTCAGGAGTTCGCTTTGGGGCATGGGTCTCACTGAGGTGGAGCCCCACTGAGCCTCCAGAGTTGAGTGGTTGCAGCAGAGCAGTCCGGAGTCTATGGAGTTGGCATAGAACTCATAGTGGGGTCCAATGTCCTTGTCCTTGTGGTCAGGTGGTGAACAGAGGCTGGCCCTGGGTGTGTCTCCACCAGACTGTGGTTCCTTCACTTCCTAGTAGGGGCTCAAGATGCTGGCCACATTATCTTGCAGGGTGAAGGCCATGAGAGGAATCCAAAATATCTGAATGGGGGAAGGGGGTGCAGAGTCTGGGCACTATCTCCCTTTTCACTGGCCTGGACAACCATGAGCTGCCTCTCTGCCTAACCATTTTGGGGAGTGCAGCCTACAGACTAGGCTCACCCAGGGAGTGCTAGCTACTCTGAGTTCCCCAGGGTACCCAGGCCGCAAATGGGAAAATGGAGATAGCTTTAGAAGCTGGAAGGAGTGCTTTTTTTTTGAGACAGAGTCTTGCTTTATTGCTCAGGCTAGAATGAGTGCTGTGGCGTCAGCCTAGCTCACAGCAACCTCAAACTCCTGGGCTCAAGCAATCCTGCTGCCTCAGCCTCCCAAGTAGCTGGGACTACAGGCAAGCACCACCACATCCAGCTAATTTTTTCTATTTTTGGTAGAGATGGGAGTCTTGATCTTGCTCAGGCTGGTCTTGAAATGCTGACCTCAAGGGATCCTCCCACCATGGTCTTCCAGAATGCTAGGATTACAGGTGTGAGCCACCGTGCCCAGAGACATTTCATTTATAAATACTTGACTATGTGTTTCTTTAAAAGAGGACATTTTCTCATAACCACAGTACCTTTATTATGCCCAACAAAATTAATAATTTCTTAATATCACCTAGTCCACATTTATATTTTCCAACTTGTCCAAAAAGTGTCTTTTAGAGCTGATTTTTTTCAACCCAGGAATCAATCAAGGACTATTCTGTACTGTTATATGTCCCTTTTTTTTTTTTTTTTTTTTGAGGCAGAATCTCACTCTGTTGCCCAGGCTAGAATGCCGTGGCATCAGCCTAGCTCACAGCAACCTCAAACTCCTGGGCTCAAGTGATCCTGCTGCCTCAGCCTCCCAAGTAGCTGGGACTACAGGCATGCGCCACCATGCCCGGCTAATTTTTTCTATATATTTTTAGTTGTCCAATTTATTTCTTTCTATTTATAGTAGAGACGGGGTCTCGCTCTTGCTCAAGCTGGTTTCAAACTCCTGACCTCCAGCAATCCTCCCACCTCGGCCTCCCAGAGTGCTAGGATTACAGGTGTGAGCCACCGCACCAGGCCTGGAAGGAGTGCTTTGTGAGTCAACACACCTTCCCACCCTCCACGCAAGCCCTCTCAGCTAAATTGTATGGGACAATCTTGCCTCATTCCCTTATTAAGTCTGCTTGTTGGGTCAATCTATCCAGTGTGGAGCAGACATGTTATAGTCCAGGGAGTATGCTCCTAGTAGCCCTTAGCCTGTCCTACCTCCCCCAGAGAGGGGAGGGCAGGCGCATCACTGCCCCCTCAACTAAATCCTTTCCCCAAGATGACACCTGAAACTGCAGCACAAAATGCCCAGTTTTAGGGGCTTCAGCCAAGCACTGGTCTCAGGATGGGAAAGAAGGTATTGTCCAGAGCAGTGTGAGTGGCTGTTGTCCCACCTCAAACAGAATACCTGCAAGCCCCCAGCCCATCTAGTCCAGGACTCTGGGCCCCGCAGCAGTGCAGATCAACCACATGTTCCACTGCCTGGTCCTTATCCTAGCGCCAAGGTGACAGATTCCTCTGGACTCTTCTGAAGGCACAGGGTTGGATCATGGGATCTCACTACTGGCCCCACCTCTGGAGAGAGAGGAGGCCCTGCACTGGGGGTGAGTCACCTAGGTCTGTAGCTCTGACCCCACCCCTTCACCTTCCCCACTCCTCTGCCCTCCATGGGGAGGGCCGGGCTATGTTTGCATTTCACATGGGTAGTGTTCATTCCAGGATCCCAGCTTTATCATGCACAGAAAAGTCAACAGCCCAACACACACACACACACACACACACACACACACACACACACACACACACACCCCTTCCCTCTTCTGGCCCAGCGTTCCTGCTGGCCCTGGCAGTCCAGACTTTCCTCACCTGCTCCCTCCAGCCAGCTCTGGTGAGCACAGCCCTTCTGGCCTGGCTCACCCCATCCAATCCCCTCATCCTCCTTGGCTTCTGAATTTGCCTAGCTCAGCATCTCTGGGTGACCTACAGATGAAAGGGTGGGGGCATCAATCCAGGATGGGGCCCAGGGGATTGGGTGTCAGAGTTCCGACACCACGAGCCCAGCACCTAGCCAGCGCTGGCTATAATTAGCAGGCCGGGATGAGGGGCAAGTTCTTTCTGCCACGTCTCCCCAAGTGAGAGGGCAAGAGCGAGCCTCAAGTGAGAGCTGTTGTCTCCTAAGGGTGGCTAAAACGATGGGGGCAAGACGGGAGGAGTATGGTCCGGGTTACTGGGTCTTTGCACATGCTTCTTGCACGCTTTGCTGCACTGCATGAGCCCCATAGTTGCACTGGAGAGCCCAGATACTCCAGTCTTGGACCGGCTGTGGGATCGGGAAGAGGGCTGGAGCAGGGGAGGGACTGACATTAGACGAGCTGGAGACATGGTTCCTCTGGCCTCTCTGGGTCCAGCTCTGACGCCCTGCTTTCTTGCCTCGCTCACCTACAGCTATCCAGCAAACCCGGGCCATGAGCGTCGTGGACACTGCACATCATTCCTTGGACCTGGAGAGTGTCTCTTCTCAGGCCCAGGACTGCCTTGAACTCCCTTTGCCGGTTCCGAGAGCCTCCTCCTGGCCTCCCTCCCCGGACAAGGATCCCACTTTGCCTTCCTTTCCTCGGGAAGAGCCTGGCCCCGAGCCCCTGGTCCCAGGGAACCTTCCATTTCCAGCCTTGTCCCTAGAGGAAGAAGAGGAGGAAGAGGATGAGGACGGTGACGACGCGGCGGAGCCCGAGGGGCTGCGCAGCGAGGAGCACCCGCGCCAGTTTTTCGCGGAGGCTCGGCGGCTGCGGGAGCAGAAGCTGCTGCTGGACGAAGAGGTGTCGGTCGCGGGGCGGGTGTACGGGCTGCATCGCGTGATCCTGGCGGCGGTCAGCAGCCTCTTCCGAGGCAGGCTGCTGGGCTGCGGAGGTTCGCGGGCCCCCCTCATCCTGGATGTGGCCCCGGGGGGCTGGGAGGCCGTGCTGACCTTCGCCTATGAGGGGGTGCTGGGCCCCGCCCCGCAGGGGGACGTGCTGGCCGCAGCCGAGGCGCTAGGAGCGCCCCGGGTGAAGGCCGCTGCCCTGCGGAGATGCGAGGAGGCCGGGGACGCCGGGGAGGACGGAAAGAAGCCCAGCCAGGCAGAGGAGCTGCGGGAGAACCTGCGCGGCGTTGAGCTCCTATACCGAGAAGGCGTCGGCTGTGATCTGAAGCTGGAAGCAGGCGGCTGCCAGCTGCGGGGTGAGGGCCTGCGGGGCATTAAATTACTGCAGGTGCACTTGCTGCCGGAATGATGTGTGCAAGCAGCAGGTGGTTTGATCCCCAGTATAGTGGTTTTGATCCCTGCCGCAGTCAGAATTTCCCTGCAGTGGCCGTTGATGCTTCTTTTGCCCGGCTGAAAGCTGGGCATGCGCAGTTGAGTTATTTTCCTAGGCGCATTGACAGATTTAAACTGACCCTCCAAGCTCCGGCTGTCCCTGTGTCCAGTAACAAGGAGTTTCCAGCCAGCTGGCTAGAACTAAGTAACAGTAGAACAGGCAGAATGTGATTGACTCAAACAGGGTTTAACCAAAGGCCCTTCTTGGGATCCTGTTCAGGACACAGGAAAAGCCAGAGGAACATGGTGGAAAACTCAGTGTGTCCTTTTATCTAAGCGTGCTTGACACCATGGCGGATTTATGGGTCCTGTGGCTAATGAGCAAGGGCTGGTACTCTTTTTCCAGAATCTCAAGGCTACCAGGCCATGGCAATTCGAAGTTAACTCTGCTCATCATCAGTAAAGCTAAGTAGGGTTGAGTAAGTTGAGTATTATTCAGATTCTACTAACACTTAGTGAGATACTGGGTGTCAGGAATTTTTACACATGACGTCTCTTTTAATGCTCACTGAAAGCTAGTGAAGTTGATACCATTATCTCTAAGTGCAAATAAGGAACATTAAATTCAGAGCTGTTGTCTAGTGAGAACCAGGATACAAGCCCACATCCAGTAGTCCAGTCTGCTTTCTGTGCCGTCATACCACACCACCATAGAACAGGGATCTTCAAACTTTTTAAACAGGGGGCCAGTTCACTGTCCCTCAGACCGTTGGAGGGCTGGACTATAGTTTAAAAAAACACTATGAACAAATTCCTATGCACACTGCACATATTTTGAAGTGAAAAAACAAAATGGGAACAAATTGTCCTCGGGGGGGCCACATGTGCCCTCGGGCCGTAGTTTGAGAACCCCTGCCATAGAACCTCGAAAAGGGAGTTGGAATGTGAACTTATAAAAGTTTAAAGTTACAAGGGATTAGTTTAGAGATTATCTAGTTCAGCTCTTACAATCACTGATGAAGAAATCAGACTCCAAGACATGTCCAAAGTCACATGGCTACTGCCCATTAGAGAAGTGACTGGGAACCACAGTGCTTTGGGGACTCCCAGAAGGAAAATGATTCCAAAAGTCTTTATTTTCATTTCTGATAGTACTAGATGAAGGGAGGATTTAAATTTTCATACTTACAAAATTTGCAGTAGGGTTTGGAATTTAAACATCTTCATATCACTGCCTTTATTTCCCTAAGAAACGTTCCAACTTAGTGTTTGGAATCCTTAAAATCCTAGGGGACAATCCTAGGGATGAGTAAGAAGTGAATACAAGTGGTTGTGAGCCCTTTCACAGTTGACTCTGAGCTATAGATTGATGATGTGGAAGCTGAGATGGCTTAGCTTGTTTCGAGGAATGTAGGATTATAGGAATTATAGGATTGTAGGAATGTAGAATTTTCTCAGATGATATATATTTGAAAGCTGACACTGATATTTACTACTTGGGAAGCACCATGTCACTACCTGCTTTGGATATGACATTGGAAAGCCATATCAACATCACTTGCCCTTGGGGAGAGGCAAACATACCACAATTGATCAAAGCAGCATGGAGTTCATAAACCTCCCTGGGAGCTTGGGCCCCCTCTCTGACCTGCCTGAAAGGACTTCTAGCAGCATTCTCTTTCCCCCCACCCCAGCTCTTCCTCCCTCCCTCCCTCTTTCTTTTTTTCTTTCTTTCTCCCTCTCTCTCTTTCTTTCTTTCTCTCTCTTTCTCTTTCTTCCTCCCCCCTCCCTTTCTTTCCCTTCCTTCCTTCCTTCTTTCCTCCTCTCTCCCTCTCCTCTCCTCCCTCCCCTCCCCTCCCCTCCTCCCCTCCTCCCTCCACTACCCCTCCCCTCCTCCCCTCCCCTCCTCTCCTCTCCTCTCCTCTCCTCTCCTCTCCTCTCCAGACAAGGTCTCTCTCTGTCTGGCTACATGCCAGTAGCTGGCTACTTGCCACTACACCTGGCTACTTTTTTATTTTTTGTAGGACAGGCTCTTCATATTGCCCAGGATGATCTCGAAATCCTGCCCTCAGGCAATCCTCCCACCTCCCAAAGTGCTAGGATTATAGGCTTGAGCTACCACACCAAGCTTCCTCCATTTTTCTTATGAAGCATTTCACATAGCGAAGTAAAGAGAACATTAAGATGAACATGCAATCACATCAACCAGAGTTAATTAAGATTTCACTATGTTTTTCATCTCTTCATTTTATTTACTTTTTACTAAAGTTTAAATTCCATGACATTTCATATATATATATATATATTTTTTTTTTTTTTTGAGACAGAGTCTCACTTTATTGCCCAGGCTAGACTGAGTGCCGTGGTGTCAGCCTAGCTCACAGCAACCTCAAACTCCTGGGCTCAAATGATCCTCCTGCCTCAGCCTCCCGAGTAGCTGGGACTACAGGCATGCACCACCATGCCCAGCTAATTTTTTCTATATATATATTAGTTGGCCAATTAGTTTCTTTCTATTTATAGTAGAGACAGGGTCTCACTCTTGCTCAGGCTGGTTTTGAACTCCTGACCTCAAGCAATCCGCCCGCCTCGGCCTCCCAGAGTGCTAGGATTACAGGTGTGACCACCATGCCTGGCCTCATTTATATTTTATTTATATATTTTTTCTTTCTTTTTTTTTGAGACAGTCTCACTCTGTCACCCCAACTAAAGTGCAGTGGTGCCATTATAGCTCACTGCAACCTCCAACTCAAGAGATCCTCCTGCCTCAGCTTCCTGAGTAGCTGGGACTACAGGCAAGCACCACCACATCCAGCTAATTTTTTCTATTTTTGGTAGAGATGGGAGTCTTGATCTTGCTCAGGCTGGTCTTGAAATGCTGACCTCAAGGGATCCTCCCACCATGGTCTTCCAGAATGCTAGGATTACAGGTGTGAGCCACCGTGCCCAGAGACATTTCATTTATAAATACTTGACTATGTGTTTCTTTAAAAGAGGACATTTTCTCATAACCACAGTACCTTTATTATGCCCAACAAAATTAATAATTTCTTAATATCACCTAGTCCACATTTATATTTTCCAACTTGTCCAAAAAGTGTCTTTTAGAGCTGATTTTTTTCAACCCAGGAATCAATCAAGGACTATTCTGTACTGTTATATGTCCCTTTTTTTTTTTTTTTTTTTTGAGGCAGAATCTCACTCTGTTGCCCAGGCTAGAATGCCGTGGCATCAGCCTAGCTCACAGCAACCTCAAACTCCTGGGCTCAAGCAATTCTGCTGCCTCAGCCTCCTGAGTAGCTGGGATTCCAGGCATGTAGGCATGCACCACCATGCCTGACTAATTTTTTCTATGTATTTTCAGTTGGCCAATTAATTTCTTTCTATTTTTAGTAGAGACGGGGTCTTACTCTTCCTCAGGCTGGTCTTGAACTCCTGACCTTGAGCAATCCACCCGCCTCAGCCTCCCAGAGTGCTAAGATTACAGGAGTGAACCACTGTGTGTGGCCAGTTATATGTCTCTTAAACTTCTTTTAATCTAGTATAGTCTTCCATCCCTGTTTTTATGACTTGACTTGAAGAAGCAAGATTAGTTAGTTATCCTATAGAATGCTCTATTTCGTACATTTATATGATCTTTTTCCCCCTCAGGGCTTTGTTTAACTTGTTCCTTTCGTCTCTCAACTTCCTATAAACTTCACTTTAGATACAAAAGATTGAATAGATTTAGGTTAAATATTTTGGCCAGAAGACTCCATAGGTGACGCTGAGCATAAGTTCTAATTGTTTAACAGCATTTGTTAATAGTACAGTTTCATTGTCACGAGAGCCATGCAGATAACTAAGGTATTGGTACACAAGCATGTATTTTGCGGGCTAATGTCACTAACAGTGGACAGGAATGATCTGCCCAGACAGTCACTGCATGAAAATAATTGAATTAGGTGATTTTTAAGGTCTCAAGTTTCAAATGTCATGATTCCATGAACTATACCGAGATGGGGAGAGAGTTATGCAGAGGTAAGCTGGGACACATGAGAAATCTTAAGCACTAAATTTTCGGCAAGAGGAGATGGCAAGCAGATGAGGTTGGATTACAGCCATTCCTGAGTGGTACCACCTTCCCAGCAAAATCTAACAGAATGGCTGATGTCAGTGGCTCTGGCAGTGGCAATTAGAAAGAACTTTATTCTATGTACAATTTACAGAGACCTATATAAGTTGCACACTGTTCTTTGAAGTTTATTTTGTACTGCTCTTCGAAAATTCTGTCTTTTCAACTTGATTCCTAAAGACTCTTTTTCTAACTAACCTGGCCAAAAAGATTAAAGCAATGTTTATGAAAGTGTCTTCAGGTCACTAACATGAGGATCACATAGGGTGCTTGAAAATGTTAAAATACACATTCCTAGGGTCTCTGTCTAGAGCTACTGAATCAGAATCTTTGGGGGTGGGCCTCCGAAACCTGCATTTTAACAAGTAACCCATAGTATTTCAGTGCATACCACGGTTTGACCTGTAGCCTTGGGTGGTTTGGAGGCCAAAGTTGGGTTACCAAGTCGGGATAGTACCCAGCAGTCTTGTAACACTTTGGGTCCTCCTCTGCTTTTTCCCTCCTCCTGCAGTGCACCGAGCAGCCCTGGCCTGTGGCAGTGAGTTCTTTGGCGCCATGCTCCTGAGCGGGATGAGGGAATCCCAGGGCACGGAGGTGTCTCTACGAACCATCTCTAGCCAGGACCTGCGACTCCTCGTCTCTTTTGCCTACTCTGGGGTTGTGCGGGCAAGGTGGCCAGGCCTGCTGAGAGCTGCCCAGGCTGCTCTGCAGTACCAGAGCTCTTCCTGCCTGGATTTGTGTCAGAAAGCCTTGGCCCGGGGCCTCAGCCCTGCCCGTTGCCTGGCCCTGTTCCCCATGGCTGAAGCCCCCGGGCTGGAGATGCTCTGGAACAAAGCACGTCACTACCTCCTCACGCACCTGCCCGCTGTGGCTTTGTGCCCCACTTTCCCTTCTTTACCAGCTGCCTGCCTGGCTGAGCTGCTGGATAGTGACGAACTCCACGTCCAGGAGGAGTTTGAGGCCTTCGTGGCTGCGCGGAATTGGCTAGCTGCCAACCCTGAGATTCAGGAGTCAGAGGCCAAGGCCCTGCTGCGATGTGTCCGCTTTGGCCGAATGTCCACCAGGGAGTTGCGGAGGGTGCGGGCAGCCGGGCTACCCCCATCCCTGTCCCCAGACCTGCTGCACCAGCTGTTGGTGGAGGCGGACGTTCCAGGCCAAGAGAGGCGGAGGGAGCCTGACCGGGCACTGGTGGTGATTGGCGGTGATGAACTCAGATCGGACATGGCCCTAAGACAGCCATCCGGAAGAGTGTGGTGGGCCCGGGCCTTCCGCTGTGGCATGGGACTGGTACGAACCGTGGAGTGGGGGTGGCTGCCTGCGCTGCCTGCCCCAGGGCGCTTCCGGCATGGGGCTGCAAGCCTGGCAGGAAGTGAACTCTATGTGTGTGGGGGACAGGATTTTTACAGCCACTCCAACACCCTGGCTTCAACTCTCAGGTATGAGCCTCTAAGAGTGGACAGGGTGTAGTAGGCCCCAAGGTGGGCAGGTGAGAGAAATTGCTGACCCAGCCAACCACAGACCCTCAGAGTCACTCTTCCCATCTTTTGTCCTACTGTGTCCAGGTGGGAGCCAACTCAAGAGGACTGGGAGGAGATGGCACCTTTGTGCCAGGCTCGGAGCTTTTTCCCCCTGGTGGCTCTGGATGGACAGCTTTATGCCCTGGGTGGAAGAGACAATGGTGTTGCCCTCAACTCTGTGGAGACCTATAACCCTGAGCTCAATGTCTGGAGGTGAGCAGGCAAGGGGGCATCCAGGAGAGAGTAAGGGACTTGGAATAGGAGAGTTGAGGCCAGGTGCGGTGGTTCACGACTGTAATCCCACCACTTTGGGAGGCTGAGGCAGGAGAATCACTTGAGGCCAGGAGTCTGAGACCAGACTGGGCAACATAGTGAGACTGTGTTTCTTCAAAAATTTAAAAATTAGCCGATATGATGGCACACTCCTGTCCCAGCTACTGGGAAGGTTGAGGTGGGAGGATCACTTGAGCCTGGGAGTTTGAGGTTGAAACAGTGAGCTGTGATGATGCCACTGCACTCCCACCTGGGCAACAGAGTGAGACCCTGTCTCTAAAAAAAAAATGAGAGAGAGAGTTGAAGACGCCAGTTGCCTGATCTTGTGTCCTGTTCTCCTTTAGGCCAGCACCTGCACTTCCAGCACCTTGCTTTGCCCATGCAGCTGCCATTTTGGAGGGACGATTGTACGTGAGCGGTGGCTGTAATGGAACTGGCCAATACCTGGCCTCATTGCTACACTATGACCCCAAACTTGAGAAGCCAGGGAGACTTCTGAGCCCTATGGGGATACCTCGGGCTGGCCATGTCATGGCTGCTCTGGGTGGGCGGTTGTATGTGGCCGGTGGGCTAGGTGAGACTGGGGACCTGCTGAGCTTTGAGGCCTATGAACCAAAGACTGATAGTTGGACTCAGCTGGCACCCCTGCCCTCCCCCCATGTGGGGGCTGCAGGTGCTGTGCTGCAGGGGGAGCTCCTGGTGCTGGGGGGCTACAGTCACCGTACTTATGCCCTCTCCCACCTTATCCATGCCTACTGTCCTGGCCTGGGCCGATGGCTCTGCCTGGGAACTCTGCCGAAGCCTCGGGCTGAGATGCCTGCCTGCGTCCTGACACTGCCCACAGTGCAGCACATAGCTTTGGTTCCCACCATGCACCAAACCAAGCCTGCTGGGTGAAGGGGGAGCACCAGTGCAGGGCGGGAGGAAGGGATGAGAAATATCATGAGAGAAGAACAAAGATTATGGGAGGAGGGAAAGAAGACTTCATCTTGGTAGTATTTTATTCTCAGACAGTACTTTACAGCTTATAAACTGCTTTTGTATATGTGATCTCCACTGAGGAAAAAGTGGTTCCAGAACTCTTGAGGAAATGGCATTGTGGAAAGGGAAGTACCTGGGTGAGGAGAGGAGACCCAGGAGCAACTCCAATAGGCTGGGGACTCTTGGCGGAGAAAGTGCATCTGGTTGGGAAGAGAGTCAAGAAGCTCCAGTAGCTGAAGTGTGGAGGCCATGAGAGGACAGTCATGATCCTGACCCATGGATCAAGGAAAAAATGTGGAAAGACCCTCCATGAAAGAGTTTAAGGAGATGGAAGGAAGGATTGAAAATTGTTCAGCCCTTCCCTTTCCCAGCACCTGCTCCTTTCTACTCCCCAAACCCTGGGATATCCAAACCCTCTTGACAATATTCTCTCTCAGGAGACTTTGTGGGCCCAGTCTAGCATTTTCCCAGCCTGGACACCACAGGCTTTCCCTGAGAGCTTCTTTTTTTTTTTTTTTTGAGACAGAGTCTTGCTTTGTTGCCCAGGCTAGAGTGAGTGCTGTGGCGTCAGCCTATCTCACAGCAACCTCAAACTCCTGGGCTCAAGCAATCCTTCTGCCTCAGCCTCCCGAGTAGCTGGGACTACAGGTATGTGCCACCATGCCCCGCTAATTTTTTTCTATATATATTAGTTGGCCAATTAATTTCTTTCTATTTATAGTAGAGACGGTGTCTCACTCTTGCTCAGGCTGGTTTTGAACTCCTGACCTTGAGCAATCTGCCCGCCTTGGCCTCCCAGAGAGCTAGGATTACAGGCGTGAGCCACCACACCGGGTCTCCTGAGAGCTTCTTGGTTTCCTTCTGAGACAGAAGTTCCCACCTGGACCTGGACAGCTTGTGGGCCCTCCAGGGCAATGAGGTGCAGTGTTGTGTGGGGGAAGATGAGGAGGGCAGAGGCCACAGAGAGAAGGGCCCACAGTGGAAAACAGATGACCCGAGGTTTGAGGGGATGGGGCGGAAGAAGTCAGGCGGCTGTCTGGCTTTTTTCCTTCCCTTTGGGCAAACTGAGAGATCAGGAGTGGAAGCAGGACAGTTGTGCCGTGAGGTCACAAGTCCTGAGAGGAAGTGGCAGAGAAGAGCAAGAGCCAGAGAAGACCCAGAAAAGTCATTTCTCCCTTTCAGTCCCTTTCCCCCAGAGTTTTTTAAAAATCCATTTCCCTTTTTCTTGGCCAGGGAAGGTTGTCAGATGCTTCCCCTTTCTCCTGTTCTCCATCCTGCTTCCCCGTTCCTCGCCCCCCTTGTTTCTCTTCTCCTTTCTCCCTCATGCAGTCATTAGTTATCTACCGTGTGCCAGGCACTGCAGGAGGCATCACGGATACAAAGGTCACTGAGCTTCTGACCAGCAGACAGACTTGGAAACAAATTCAAATTTTATAGTGAACTTGTAAGTGTGGACAAAGTCATCTGAGAACCCAGAGGATGCAGGAGTGAACTCTGCCCAGGACGGCTTCTGTTGGGAAGGTATCATCAGATGGGTGTGCTTGGAACTGGATCTTGAAGGCTGTCCAGAAACTCACCAGTTAGAGAAGGAGGAATGCATTCAAGATGGAAAAGAGAAGTGAATGGGACGTGCTGTGCCCTGTTTCTCCATAGCAAGGGGAAGTCGGTATTCCAGAGGTTCTCCAGAGAATTCTGCTGCTCTTGCCACCTACCTTCTTTTCTGGAGCCTTTCTGAAGATAATGGCTTGCATTGAACAGTTGTATAGTCCCTCCCACCATAGCTCCCCTAAATCTTTCCTGTCTGGTATTTTCATTTCTGCCCCCTGGGCAGCTCAGAGAAAAGAAGAGTCAGTTCTTTGTGCAGGTCAATTGTCCATTACCATTGTCTCTTTCAGATTTTCACACTCCTAAGGGATATACGATGGAGCCTCCCTCGCACCTTTCTTCATTCTGGTCCCAGAAGTACTTGTGTTTATTTATTTATTTATTTATTTTTTTTTGAGATTTCATTATTTTACTAAAGTTTTTTCTATATCTCTGTTTAAGTTAGACTAGGTATATAGTTGAAAATGAGGAGGGGTAAGTAGGATATATAAGAGAAAAGAGAAGAAAGAATGATGAAGAAAGAGAAGAAGGGGACAGGCACGGTGGCTCACGCCTGTAATCCCAGCACTCTGGGAGGCCGAGGCGGGCGGATAGCTCAAGGTCAGGAGTTCAAAACCAGCGTGAGCAAGAGGGAGATCCTGTCTCTACTATAAAAAAATAGAAAGAAATTAATTGGCCAACTAAAAAATATATATATATAAAAATTAGCCGGGCATGATGGCACATGCCTGTAGTCCCAGCTACTCGGGAGGCTGAGGCAGCAGGATAGCTGAGCCCAGGAGATTGAGGTTGCTGTGAGCTAGGCTGACACCACAGCACTCACTCTAGCCTGGGCAACAAAGCAAGACTCTGTCTCAAAAAAGAAAAAAAAGAAAAGAAAGCGAAGAAGGAAATTAGAGGAGATGAGAAACTATAAAGCTTGGGTAAATTTCTGTGAACATTTTCTTTGTGATTTGTACCTAAAGAGAGGATTAAATAAAGGTTTCACAGTGATTAAGTTATTCTTATCTGAGCTTTTTTACTATAACAATCATTCAAAATAAAATTCCCTATAATCTGTTTTTCTTTTCTCCACCACACTACTGAAACCACTCATTCCATTGTTGCCATGACCTACTTCTTACCAAATCTAACAATTGGTGGCCATCTTCATTCTCTTTCATCTTTTTGCAGGAATTGACTGGCTTGAAAACTGGCCCTTACCCTAAATGTTTCACCTCTCCTAGCTCCAGAGGTAACACACTCTCCTAGATGGGCCTTCTCTTATTTCTCCAATCCACAGGGGTGGCCGTAAGCCAGGTCATAGTGTCCAACGGGGTATGGCTCCATCTCAGGTGGAGCTGATAAGCAAGGACACACAGGTATGTGGTTGGGGGTGGTTGGTTGCAGAAGTTTCTGATTTTCATTATTTAGTTTTAAAATTGAGGGTAGGGTAGGAGAGAGGAGGAAGAGATTTCTGATTTGAAGCAGGACCCCAGTCAACAGTCCATTTCTCAGTGAGAGGGGACTAGATGTAGACAAGGTAGCAGCTTGGGGCCAAGCCACACAGACTGAGGGTCAGAATAGTATTCCAACCCCAGAAGGCGAGCGGAGGGAGAATCAGGAATCAGGACAGAAACCATTCATGCAGACTGCACAGCCATGCTGGGGACCTGGAAAGGCTACTTTAAGGACTGCCTAGAGGCCCAGGACTTCACTTGACTCATCAGGTAACCCTCATCTTTGGTAAAACAGATAATGAGCCAAGGCCTTTTAGATGCTCCCTGCCAGCTCCCTCCCCTTCCCTCAACCTCCTTTGTTGATGAGGGTGGAATTTCTAGTATCTGTCTCATCTCTTCAAGATTGACTCAGGTACTGGGTTGGACTGCAGGTTAATGTGTAGTACCAGTAAGTGTGTGGGACTCAACACATCCTTTGTCTCCTATGCCTGATTCTGGGTTGCATATGTTCTTTTACTTTGCTTTATGCTCCCTGTCAGAGAGCTCACCTCTCCTCTATCTGCAACCTTGTGATTCACCTGGGTTCTAGTCTGATTGTTTTCAGCGGCCTTCACCTCCACTTAGAGGTACCACCGTCATCAATTCAGTTGCATCATGCTTTGTTGACACTATCATTTTCCTCATTTCCTAAACTTGAAGCTTTGGAATCATTTGGAGCTTATTATTCCTTATCTTTTTTCTTTACTTGACTCGTCATGTAATTTTATTTACTGAAATGAAAATGGAATTAGTCTCTTCTCCCAATATTTTCTCTGTTGAATATGGTATATATATTATGCCCTAGACACCTGGATTGATAGCAAGATGGTTTAAAAAAAATAGAAAGACAAAAGTCATATGAAAATCCTACTAGCTGCAAAAGCAAGAATCATTTCTTACCAAGACACATACTCCAAGCTGTAGCAGCAACAATGTCCAATCACAAGATGAAAAACTGCTAGGCATGGTGGCACATGCCTGTAGTCCCAGCTACTCAGGAAGTTGAGCTGGCAAGATTGCTTGAGCCTAGGAGTTTGAGTCCACCTGGGCAAAATAGTGAGACCCTATGTCAAAAAAAAAAAAAAGAGAGAATGAGAAACTGCACAGATTGTTTAATAGAATTATGGAATGAAGAGATTTTGGAGGTTATATAATTCAAATCTCTCTTTACACAGGGTATGACATAAAAGTATGTGGTACACAGTCTAGATAATGAAGAGGAAGGCTTTCATTAGAGTAGTCTCTCATACAGAAGGACCAAAAGGCTGGTTAGGACAAACATTACAGAGCAGGTCTATAGACAGGACAGTCATAATTACTCTTAGAGGATCACAGACTAGATTCTTTTTTCTTTCTTTTTTTTGAGACACAGTCTCACTCTGTTCCCCTGGCTAGAGTGCTGTGGTGTCAGCCTCGCTCACAGCAACCTCAAACTCCTGGGCTCAAGCGATCCTCCTGCCTCAACCTCCCAAGTAGCTGGGACTACAGGCATGTGCTACCATGTCTGGCTAATTTTTTCTATATATATTTTTAGTTGGCCAATTAATTTCTTTCTATTTTCAGTAGAGACGGGGTCTCACTCTTGCTCAGGCTAGTTCCAAACTCCTGACCTTGAGTGATCCTCCAGCCTCGGCCTCCCAGAGTGCTAGGATTATAGGCATGAGCCACCATGCCCAGCCCACAGACTAGATTCTAAATCCTGGCTAATCCCTGGGATCAAGGAGTTTTAGGTGAAAAAGTGTGAATTTATCACCGCTCCTGGTAAAATGACTACCAAAAAGATTATGTGTAGATATACACATATATATATATATACATACATACATATATATCATTAGTGGTGAGATTATAGTCTTTTTTTCCTCTGAGAGATAGATGTTCGTGCTATTGTTACCATAGGTTTTTTTAGAATATAATAATCTATATTAGAATAATGAAAAAAAATATAGCTTTGAAAGCATACTGAGTTAGAATCAGTAACTTGAGTTCAAGTCTCAATTCAGCTGCTGCCTTGGTAAGTAAGTCCCTTAATCAGCTTGAATTCCAGTGTCTTCTCCCACAAAATAAGCATGATAACTGTACCATAAATGCCATAGTGTTATTATAGTGCATGAGCCCAAGAGCTTGGGGTAGTCCTAAGGACCTCTAGTCACTTTTGGAAAAGTGTGCCTTGGTCATCTGTAAATCAAGTTCCCAGGCCATATCTTTTTAGATTAGAGAGCTAAATGATGCCAAATAAGGAGGCCAGAGTACTGTAACGACAGGTCCCTGAGACCGTGAACGCCATACAGAGGGTTACAAGCTACTCCAACCTAATGTTGCTCCTGAGTGAGTTCATCAGGACTCCAACTGAGGCCAAGACATCTAGGGGGCTGGAGGTCCTCTAACTACATAGCAGCTTGACTCATAATCAGATAGGCAATCTGAGCCTTACT